TTATTCATTAAAATTTAGGAGATAGGTAGAATCATGTCTCTAAAGAGCCTAAAGTCATTCTGAGATTTTTGGCTGTTTTTCTGCTTTCATTTTAAAAAATCACTTTACCTTCCCTATTATCCCAATACTTTGTACTTATGTCATTGTCAGCCCTTAGCTCATTGTTTCATAGTTATTTTCTTAGATTCTATCTACTGGGCCCTCAATTCACCCACACCCATTCACACAATGCACCCCCTCACATGCACACACTATATCCTGAGGTCCTGGGGACAAACACAGGTTTAATTCATTTTGTTACAGCCACCGAAGCAAAGAACCAGGCATATAATAAGCACTCAGTAAATAGTGGCTACTGGGTGGGTGGACAAATGCCAACTCCTCTCCCTCCTCTGATAGCAGGATGCTGTTAAATTATACACCTCTCCCGTGCCAAGTGTCAAAGTGCAGAGCTTTGGGAGGCAAACGAGAGTAATGATTAACATTAAGCATTTAAATTTCCAGCTCTTCTTACTAGCTATGTGTCTGTAGGCAAATTACTCAGCCCCTCTGTTTCCATTTCTTATCTACACATGGATGTGTGTACCTCCTTGGTACTTGAGACTGTTTGCCACATGGTTGCTAGGAGACAATGTGAGTTACTTAGCACATTCTTGGCCCTTCCGCTTCTTTATTGATCGTTTACTATTATTTGTTGGTGTGGAGGAATCCAGTACAAAAACATTATTTCCATTACACATGCCACCAATTAGAGGCTCATTTTAATGAGTCAGCTCTAGGGAAGGCTAAGTGATGGCACCTTAGTGGGGATTACTTTAATCAGCTAAACAGATTGTTTTCTTCTTGACACTTAGCTGAGATCAAAGAGAGCAGGAGAATTTTGGTGGCAGAATGAAAGGCAGATGAAGAGGGTTGCCAGGATGAGGTGGCAGTGGGAACCTGGGAGTCAGAGGACAGTTTGAAGGTTTTGGAGCTTGGGGTCTCTAGAAACTAGATGCCAAAAGCCTGCCAGGTGTATATTTTCACTAGGCCCCAAAGTAAGCAGCCTCCACTGTCTTTTACACTATTTTCTGCCACCCCAGGGTGTGGACAATCAGGAGGAGGGTGTTGGGTTCCCCAGCAGAGAGGTACTGCAGGTTATCACAGATGGCTGAGCACATGGTTTTCTCCTTTAGCTTTACGCCACCCAATTCTATCTCTCTCCAACATCTGTCCCCTCCTCATTTGATACAGGAGGGTTTGTAACACCCTGGCTCTCCAGCCATGCCACCTAAGGCAAGATGCTGAACCTCTCCACATCTTGGCCTTCTCTCTGCGATAAAGAGAACAATGTCCTCTTGCACAGGGTTACAATTGGCAGTAAAGGTTATGTAGGTAAAGTGCTTTGTAGAACGCCAGGCACTTAGTAAGCATTCAATAAATGTTAATTATTAGTATTAATGCAGATTATGTCAGAGGCTACTCATTCTTTCATAATATATTTGCATGCCAGTCACTGCTCTTAAAGCCAGGGGTTCAGCAGCAAAGAGGTAAAAGTCCCTGATCCTATGGAGTTGATTAAGTAACAATCATTTATTCTCCTGCCATGTAAGTATATAATTTGTTCTCAAAAGACTTCAAGAGCATATAGAGTAAAAAAAAAAAA